AAAAAAACAAAGTTTGTGTTTTTTCTAAAAATTAGTATTGCGATGCCTAAAAATGTATCTTATTGTTGGTGTTTTTTTTCTTACAAAATTACAAATTAAGAAACTATAAGAAAACATAATAAAAAAAATTAAGTGAATCCACAACAAAAGGAAAAATAATCAAAATTCTCACAAAATTCTAAAGCCTCAATGGAGACTTCTCTTTAATCCATGTTCCAATGTCTTGGACTTCTCTTTAATCCATATTCTAATGTCTTATTACATATATTGATAAACTTGTGTATACTCTTCTGCCATAGATGATAGATGGAAAAGAAGAGGAGAGAGCGTACCTATAGTTTATAACTCGTACATGGATATGAAGAACACATAAATGAAAAAAACCTAAAGATTGAGGGATTTAGAGAAAAAACCAAGGATTGAATGATTTAAATGTTAGAGTTGAAACATACCAAGAGAAGGGAAGGGTTTTTGAGTTAAATGTGAACATTAATTTGCAAAATTGCTAAGGAAAAAAAATCAAAACGTGGAAAAAAGAGGAAAAGTGGTTTTTAGATGAGAGATGGAAAAGAAGAGCGAAGAGCGTACCAGTAATTTATAACTCGTACATGGATATAGAGATGGAGAACACATAAATAGAGTTGAAACGTACCAAGAAAAGGGGAAGGGTTTTTTGAGTTAAATGTACACATAAATAGAGTTGAAACGTACCAAGAAAAGGGGATAGGGTTTTTTGAGTTAAATGTACACATAAATAGAGTTGAAACGTACCAAGAGAAGGGGAAGGGTTTTGAGTTAAATGTGAACATTAATTTGCAAAATTATTAAGAAAAAAAAAATCAAAATGTGGAAAAAAGAGGAAAATATGATCTCTACGTCGAGGAGATGCCACGTCAGCATATCATGATTCTGCTTTATAGATATATAGATATATAGATTATATTTCATTTTGCACTATATCATGAGAGTCTCTTAATCATTCTGACCACTTAATCGTTCTGCACCAAACCATTCAACAATTGCCAAACAGCCCCTTATACTAAATAAAGAAACAATTTGTTTAGAAATATAAATATTTATATATGGTTTCTTTCTTGTGGTCAAAAAGTTTTATGTTAAGGGGTTCTTTACTAAAATTTTTGGGGTAAGTACTTATTATGGTAAGAGTTTTCATTCAAATAAGAGATCTGATTCAGGTGAGATTTGACAGAAAATGGTTGGTTGCCAAACGTTTTTGCGTCAAGTCTAACTGGAAAGAAATGACCAGTATATTCCTCTATATGTAATAAGTGCTAACTAAATATTGTTACATACGAAATGTTTTGAATATATTTTTAAATTCTTTTTTCCTTATTCTACTTTTTTAATAAATTATAAATGGGGCTGCCTATTTGGTACGGTTAGCATGGGATGTAACACGCACTGTAGCTCAAGGCGTGTTTGAACCATAATAACCCATGGCATGTCATAACCCAATGTGCGGTTTTTGTAACGCAATATTTGTTTTTAAAATCCTGTTAGTGTCTTATTTTTAGTTTTTAGTATATAACATAATTTAAATTGTTTAATATTATTGACTCATTAGAATTATAATATAAACCATATGTGTTTATACACACACACAACGAAATATTCATTTAAGAAATGATAAATATTTGAAAAGTAAAGAATTAATCTAACCCTTCATCTGGTCAACATTTGCAGTTTTGACTATGAAATACTTGATAATTCCTCGCATGCATATGCGAAAGATGAAGAGGTAGTTTTTTTTTATTAACCTTGATATTCAACCCGCTATGCGAGCTGACTAATCCCAAGCCGACCACCTGCTTTGCAGATAACCCGGTGTCACCGCATTTGAGCCTCCGTGGCCACAAGAGGATTTTTATTTCTCCTTGGATTTGAACCTGAGACTTAGTGGTCTTTTAACCTTTGGAGTCAAACTCAAACCAAATAGGCAACAAACGGTTCACATGTGAACTCATGTGATTCACATATAAATTATATGTTCATATTTGAACCCGTTAATGAGTTCACATATGAACTAATTAACTGATTCACATATGAACCAACATGTTTATATGTGAATCAACACGTAAATTACATGGGTTCGCACGTGAACATATAATTAATATGTGAATCACATAGGTTCACATATAAACCCATTTGTCGTCCATTTGTAAAAGTTACAATCTACCCCCTATTTTTTGCATAGCCGCAATTCTTGACTAGTCAAATCCGATCTTAATCGTATGAAATGCTAGGATCACTTCATTACTTCTCAATTATTTATCACTTCTCAAAATAACATTTCTCTATGTGTGTGTGTATAGGAAAATGTTCATTTGAGAAGTCGTAAGTATTTAAGAAGTAAGAACTGATCTTAACCTTTCATCTGGTCAACATTTGCGGCTTTGACTGTGAAGTACCGGATAATTCTTCGTATGGGTATTCGAAACATAGATGGGTGGTTTCATAAGTTATACAAATAGGCAGCAGATTCTCATGTGAACCCGTGTGACTCACATATGAACTATACGTACATATGTGAATTAATTAATTAGTTCATATATGAATCATACGGGTTCACATGTAAATGAGTTAATTAGTTCATATTTGAATTACAAGAGTTCACATGTGAATCACACGGGTTCACACATGAACTAGTTTGTCATATATTTGTAAAAGTTACAAAATTACTTCCTCTACTTTTCTCATAGTCACAATTTTTGACTACTCAAAGCCGTAATTCTTGACCAGTCAATTTCGATCTTGATCGTATGAAGTGCTATGATCACTTCTTTACTTCTCAAATATTTTTCAAATTAACCCATCCATGTATATATATATACATATATATATATATATATAGAGAGAGAGAGAGAGAGAGAGGTGAGTTATTATAACTTTTTACATTTGTACAACTCAATCTCAACCGTCCATTTAATTTAATGAATATGTGATTTCATAAAAGTTTAGATTGTTTTCTAATATAAAGTATTGATCATAATTAATGAACTCTAATCATTTTTCATAAATATTCAAATCATAATAATAAACTCTCATCATTTTCATAAATATTTCAATTGATTGGATTATGGTTGTACAAATGTAATGAGTTGCGTTTCAAACATCCCATATATCACCTTTTCTTTAAAAACTCACTTACTTTTCTATTACAAATGTGATGAGTCGTACAAATTGATATATTTAGAGAAATCAAACTCACTTACTTTTCTATTAACCACGTGTCTAAAAATATTAAAATACATCACCTTTTCTTTAAAAACGTTATTTTCTAATGGAAATATAAGATACATTTTTTAATATAAAAACGTTCAAGTGTACTGCATATGTAGTATAGTACAAGGTACGTCCAAGTTATATTTCATTGATTTGGTGGCCAATAAACCTAATTACCTTTCATATACAACAATGATAATTTTATGAAGTTTAAGGGGTATTTTTGTAAACTTTTAAAACTTGATTCACTTTCGAGAAGGTTGCTCCGACAACCACCCGACATAGCGCCTCCATATGAAACCTACTTCGTGTCCCAAATGGATCAAATCAATAGAGTAATAGAAGCATTGGTCAACGTAGCTGATTTAGGGAGGTGGTGTTTTTCATTGGTGGACAAAGGATGATGAGAGGATGTTGTATTCGGTTGTTACAGTGGTAATATATGTCAACCGTAAAGGTGGTTGTTGGATGTGTTGTAAGACGGAAAAATGTTTATTGTTGTCCGGAATGGGGAGTTTTGAATCAAAGGGTCTTTGGTCTAATGGTATCGTAGCCTTTGTAAACTAAAGAGGGACGTATTTTTACAAAAGTGGAAGTTTAAGGACCAAACTGAAAAAACTGATAAAAGTTAGTCGCTTTCTAGAATAACGGAAACGTCAAGTCAACGCAACGCAACGCAACGTCGTGATGACTGACGACCAACCGGCCGTCACCAAACCAGATGCCAATTCAACCATCCATAAGAAAACGTGTCTCCCCTTTTTATCTCTATACCTCTATTTAAATAAACCCCAACTCTGTTCATTTCGCCCAAATTCAATCCATTTATCCTTTGTCCAATTTCTTTCAAATTCAATTGACCATGTCTCAGGTAAATTCTATTCATCTCTCTGATTATTATGTTCTTTAATTTTCACGGGTTGGATCGGTTTGATATGATCTATTTTCTTGTGGATTTTGTTATTACGATCACGAATACCTTTTGTTTCGATCCGACTGAAACCCCTTTTAAGTTCATCTTTCAATTTTATTGATGATGGATTTGTCTGTATTGACTTGGATGATAATTGATGTATATTGAGCTTTGGGGCGATATTTCGTTTAACGTTGAATTTACGGATTACAAATTAGGTTTTTGTGGAATCAGGTGGAAATAATCTTGCGGTGAGAATTATTTTGTAGGATTAGGTGGTACTCTGATTTATACAAGGCGAATTTCAGTTCAATGAAGTACAAAATTGAAATTTGTGCCTTTACCTGATGAACTCCAGAATGATCCCAAAAGGGAAAAAAGAATTACTTGCTTTTTCTGGATATTTGTTTATGTAGTTATGGAGTTTTTTCAGAGAACAAGTCTCATATTGGTGTAGATGATGATGTATATTACAATAAAGTGATCCAAGAGTCACAGCTGGTTGTTAATTATTTCTTAGATGAAGCCTAAATGGTTGTTTCCATATCAGAGCCTGATTAGGGCACAATTGCCCATTTGCGCTACTCAAATGCTATAATGGCATGTTTGCATCAGTTCTTGATTTGGGCTAAATTTCAGTGGATCATAAGGCACAATATTCACATAGGCTAGCTAAATAATAATCCATATTTCAATTCGATGTGATTCATTTTTCTGCCAATTGCTTCTAAATTGCTTAAATGATCTTTTACATTGTTAATGTGTCATATTAATTTGTTGGTCTAACTGTAAGTTTTCAAAGAGTTGAGTTCTTTTTGTGGTATTACATTGGAGATTCTAAATTGCAATATGTGTTTTGGGTATAATTTGAAATGGGTTTTGTTCATTTCCAACTGAATCCAAGACTATGGTTTGTTTCACCGATTATTAATATGTAATTGATGATGATTTCCGAAACTAGAAACTTACAAAATTTCTGTTGATGGGAATGCAGACTGTTGTTCTTAAGGTTGGTATGTCATGTGGAGGCTGTGTCGGGGCCGTGAAGAGGGTTCTTGGCAAAATGGAAGGTTTGTTAATTCGTCTTTCCGTCAAGTGCATGCTCGCATTACTTGTCCATTTTTCTTTTATCCAAGGCTATGTTTGGTAAACTAGTTGATAAGCTTGTTGTTGGTTGATAAACTAGTCATGTTTGGGAAAGACTAGTTGATATACTAAATGACAATGTAAAATTACCTAAAAGGATGTTGAAAAGTTAATTGGAAGTGACAGAATTGGAAATAAAATGGAAAAAAGCCTCCAAAGCTTGGCTTATAAGCTAGTCTATGGCTTACCAAACAGGGTTTTTTTCAATAAGCTCAAAAAATAAGGTAGCTTATAAGTAATACATAATTTCTTTCATTTCCATACAACATCAAATAGAGCTAGATTTAATAACTTGAGAATGTAATCAAGATTTTTTACTCAAAAGTTTAGGTAATTTACTTCATTTACCATTTCTTTTTTAAAGATTTTCAAACAGAGGACCAGTGTATGCATTTAGGATTCATTTAAATATAGATGAATTGTTTACGGGCATATCACAGGGGGGTAGGTTCAAACGAGAACCATAAATATTTTGAGAATCTGGGAACCAACTATTTATGTTATATTAATCATTTATAATGAAAACTGTACAGGGGTGGAGACTTTTGACATTGATCTGGAGCAACAAAAAGTGACTGTGAAGGGTAACGTACAGCCGGATGCAGTTCTGCAGACTGTTTCCAAGACTGGGAAGAAAACCGAGTTTTGGCCTGCTGAAGCAGCAGCAACTTCTGTTGCTTAAATTTTCGAAAACTAATGGTTTGTGGAACTGGGTATTAAATCTATGGTTTTTGGTCTTCTGTAAAGCTTAAAACTATCTTGTGACTGTAACATTTGGTAGTTTGCAGTTGAATAAATGCAGAACATAATTGTTGTGTTGTGTTGTGATTTCTTCATTCTTCAAAAATCTTACAAAATGTTTGATAGTTCATCTTTTGTATCTTCTTCAATGTTCGCAAGTTCATTTATGTTGGTGATTTTAGTGTAATCAAACATTTTGGTTTAATTGTGATTTGTTAGCGATCGACTAGGTGAGAAGGCAAATATAATGTGAGTTATAGGAGGTGTAGAGTGCATACTCATAAATGTTGTCCATATCACCTTAGATCACAATAAACCCGGGGTCTAAGGGGGTTGCCCTCTTTTAAGGAGAGCACCTTTGGTGGTGTTGTAAAGAGAGTGATTCTCCTGATTTCGTGAAACCTAAGATATTATAAGGTCAAAGTATAGTATTACACGATATCCAAATGATTGTAACCATAAAGCCTGTTTCTAACCATAAGGGTGGTGCCCGATTGGTTTGAGTTTGGCTCCTAAGGTCAAAAGTACCAGGAGGTCCCTGGTTCAAATCCAAGGAGAAATAAAAATCCTTTTGTCGTCACGGAGGTTCAATGACTCCGGCCATTTAGTAAAGCAGGTGGTCGTCCTGGGATTAGTCGGTTTGCATAGCGGGTTGAATATCCAGGTTAATCAAAAAAAATATATTATAGAGTGTCATTTTATCTTACTGAGGACATGACAATGATCAATGATTCTACCTTATAAGCTTAAGCGTCTTTCATCCAATCAGAATAATTTATTTGTAGCATTATAGAAAAACTTCTAAATTTTTTAATAACATAATTATCAATCGTAAAAATAATAACACATGAATATAATTTGTATAAGTTAATAAATTTAAGAATTTTATTGAAAATCTATATGAAAAAATAAAATAAAAAGAACAATAAATTGCGTTTTTCGTCTCTATGATTTGTAATTCATTACTATTTTTGTCCTTGTGATTAACAATTTATTGTTGTTTCGATCTTTTTGGTTTATAATTCTTTACGTTTTGGTCTATTGTACTTTAAATAAGAATTATTGATGGCTGAAAATCTTACCTGATAAGTGGAAAGAAAACACTTACCTAGTAAGTGCTTACTGGGTAAAAGACAACAACAATGCATTTTGATGGCTGAAAATGTTACCCAATAAGGTAAGTAAAAGTGGTAACGCTTACCAATAAAAACTTGCGCGATAAGCGTTTGATAAACGGCCCCTACAGTCAATCATGTTATCTTTGATTTCAAACAAGAAACCAAACACATTGTTTGAGAAAATAAATGAAACCAAATTAAGATCCTGCTTCCAAACAGCATAGTTTTCATTCCAAGCCCATAAGACTGCAAGAATGGGATCATTTCTCTTCATTTCATAATCATATACAAGAACAAAGTACATATTTACATGTCTTCAAACGGAATGTAATTGTACATGGTCTTTTTGGATCGTTTCCATGACTCGAACTCGTGATCTCCAATCACAAATAACAAGCAATACGAGGCGGCTTAAATTTGCGCCCCTTACTATATAGTATAATCTATACCTAAAGAACAAATAAACTTTCCCAAAATAGAAAGGTCATACAATGTAGGTCTTCTCGGAAGGCTTTGGACCGCGTTTCTTTCGTGGATTAGAAGTGATCATGCACGAAAAGGCATTAACAAGCTGGGAATCTTCATCCGTCATCAGAATCTTGGCTTTCGTTGGGTCGGCAAGGAGAAGTTTTGATACAAGATATCCTGCAATTGTCCATGTTTGAAATAATCGCGATTGCTTCCCTATAAACCTTCCTCTTTTGGTGTCGTAGTATTCAGGCCACTTGTCTTGAGCCAACCGCCTCTCTGCTACCTCAACGGCTCTTGCGGCGATTTCTGGCCTGTCCATCTTGATGCATGCCACTGTAAGCTGTAAAAGAAATACTCAGACTCAGGGGCCGTTTACCAACACAAATGGGTAAGTGCTAATCGGGTAAGAGTGCGGTCTGGGTCAGCAACTAATTACTGACCGAGTAAGAGTCCCTCCCTTAGCTTACCAAGTCAGCATTATGGACCGGTAAGAGGGGCTTCGTAATCAACATCTCTGATTGGGTAAGAGGTGGTAAGCAAGTACTGAACAACCCCCTTGTTAATCCATTCTTGTGTTTTTTTTTCTTTTTCATTTTCGATTGCTTACTACTCCATCCCAAAATGAATGTCCACAACAAAAAGACAATTTTAGGAATATGAAATTATTGACAAAAGGACAATTTCACCCTCAATTATAGAGAGAAATTCTCTCTCATAATTAAGGGTAAAATAGGAAAGTAGACATTTACTTTTGAAAGTAAACACTTACTTTGGGACAAACTAAAATAGTAACACAGACACTTATTCTTGGACATAGGGAGTATCTACTAGTCTTGGTTCTTCTTTCCCTTTTCTTTTCGCTCCCACTTTTGCACAAGCTGAGGGTCTTCAGCTGCTCTACCCTTTGGGGTAGAGGACAGGTTTGTGTATATCCCGCTCATTTCAGACCCAACTTTCAAGTGGAATATACCGAGTTTGTTTGGTTTGGTTAATCCGCTCTTGGAGGTACACTTGGAGTTTTCGGGTCCAACTGACTACTTTTCAAATTCAAATTTCATGGGTTTTTGCAATAATCTAACACCAACAAATTCTATTTGTGCTGTTTATTATCAATTGTAGGATAGTGATCAAGATTTATCAGATATGTACACCATCCATATGAATATTGAATTCAAATGTAGTTCTTTTGACCTCAAAACTCACCCCTCTTCTATTGATAAGGAATTTTAGCTCTTCTAGTTTTATATCTAACCTAAATACTAGCTCAAATGAAATGTAGTTGGTCATGGCCACTTCGTGCAACAAGTACCAAAGGGCTCGACATTATTTCACGCAAATGCAACAAAGTTTTGCTTAGTTCCTATTTAGTGCAACGAAGAATTTTTATGTCAACCTATGCAACATAGTTTCAAAATTTCCAATTTTGTAAACTGGTAACCTATTGGTCCTGTGACCATTTGATGACGCAAATACCCGTTTACAAAAGTTTTCGAAATGTTCACGAAAGGGTTACGCGTATTGGACGATAAACTTGACTTCCACGTCACCAAATGTTACAAGATCAATAAGTTACCGGTCAAAATGGGTACAAAATACGAAACTTTGTAACATTAAACTTAATTTGCATTTTTCCCTATTATTTCAGAAACGACTGTTTACCTGCCAGAGCAAAGTTGGCCACGAACCTCCATTGTGGTATGACCATGGCCTGCAAAATCCCACGATCGTGATAAATCAATGGTTCCCTAAAGACGGAACAGACCAAAGAAACAGAAATATAACATCAAGATAGAGGTTTACGTGTTCTTAGGATCACTGCCTGTGATAATTTGCCATTCCTGACCTTCAAGAGCAGGATAACAAATCTTGAAAGGCATATCCGCGACTAAATCCGCCCATTTCGCTTCAATAAGATCCAAAATCGCGTGTGATTGATCAGCTGTAACTAGACTGCTGACTACAGACCAAAAATTTCCAAGAGAGAAAAAGCGGAAGTCCATATGAGCCGGTTGCAGGTTTCCAATAAGGTATCCTCCTTTATTTGGCATCCATTCTACTAACCACGGAGAAATTTGATCAGGGTAAATGTTGAATTTGTTGACGGCATCATAAGAGTATTCTTCAGTCTTGTAACGGTAGATTTCGTTAAGTTTTCCCATATCTATCCAGTAATATTCTCGTATGTGGAATGATAATGCAACAAGACGGTTGTTTAAGGCTCTAACAAGATCTGCTGTTCCATCCTCTGGTGCAAGCATTTCCCGTGCACACATTAATGCGGAATAAAATAACGCCTGAAATCACGAATAGTGTCATGTATATCAGAGGCGGGTTAAAAGGGTGCCCGAAGATTCAGTGGTTGTTTGACTAGTTTACGTGGCTTGAAAATGCTTGTTATAAAGGAGTAATCTTATTAGCACAAATGCTTGCCCCCTCCTATCATCCTTAAAAGATACACCCTCCGTCCCAAAATAAATATCGACAATGAAAAAAGCAACCTGTTAGAAAATGTGTAATTATTACACTTTTTAATTGGCTAAATGACAATTTTACCCTTAATAATAGAGAGAGCAAATAATTTCACAATCTCATAATCAAGGGTAGAATTGGAATATAGACAATTCATTTTGAAAATGGACACTTAGGGACCGTTTACCCGAATGCTTATCCAGTAAGAGTCAACACCCCCGATTCTAGTACATCAAAACGGCATTGTATGCAATAATTTACCCGGGAAGCGCTAATCGGGTAAGAGTCGTCACCATCACTTCCCAGGTGAGATTCGGTCCTTGCCATGTTCATCCGCTAAGGTAAGCGCTTACCGGGTAAGCGTTTATCAGCAAGACACCACCCTCACTTACCTTATCGGGTAATATTCTCGGCCATCAAAATGGATTGTTGGTAAGCGTCTTTTCCCCCTTATGCGCTTACTAGGTAAGTCTTCTCCTCCACTTACCGGGTAAAATTCTCGGTCCTTGCTATGTCTCTTAGCGTTTAAGATTTTGGTCCTTGCCATGCTCACCGGTAAGGTAAGTGACACTCAGTAAGCACTTACCCGGTAAGAATTTAGTAAATGGCCCCTAATTTTAGGACAAACTAACATTGAAATGTGGATACTTATTTTGGGACAGAGGGAATTTAAACATCTAACAAATAATCAAACAATTTTCTTAAACTGTAAAGTCAAACATTACAATTTTCACGAGGGAAGTAAGAGGATTACTTGGATTTCGAGCGGGTGGCCATGAATTCCCATACGGCGATCGATCATGCAAGGACCATCAGCAACCAGCAAAGTAGGAAACATATCGAAACCATCAGCAAGACATAACTTAAGGATCATCTTAATTCCAGTTTGAACATCAATTCTCTCTTGGAGTGACATATCTCCGGAACTCTTTCCATATGCACGTAACAATATAATCCACCACAATCCTATTGTAAGAAATTGCCAAAAGAGTGAGAAAACAAAAAACATGTTTCAAGTCCAAAAGAAACAAACAAAGGGACATATGGCATGCTGATATATACCAGAATCAACAGGGGCAACACGCCCAATTGCAGCCTCTCCAAAGTCGGGATCTAATACTTCTTCGGTTGCGGTGTCATCACCCTCAAGGGGTACCGTACGAACCTTAAAACTGGCTGGCATCAATCCCTGACCAGGGCTATGACAATCCATCGTTTTCTCCCAGCTCTGCAAAACAAGAAAATTTAGGTAAAAATTGATGATGTTTCACTCTTTGGCAATTTAGATATCTAGCAAAGCACCAAATTCTTGAAATTTGGAACACGACGAACAATGTCCCCGTTGGGGTGCATTTGGTATGTGGACAGGATTGGATGACAGGAGTGAGGTAGGAGGGTGAAAGAATCCCTGAAGGTTTTAGGGTTTAATTTGACATGGGTAGTTTAGTAATTTATCAATCTTGTCTAGGCTCTTGATTTTCGTTCCATGTATTTTGGCGGACACAAAGAATGCATTTTTGTCCCAATCGGGTCCTGTCTTTTCCCACTTTTATGTTGCGCCCAATGTGGGACAATAAGTGTCCACTTTCAAAAGTAAGTGCCTACTTTTCAATTCTACCCTCAATTATGAGATGGAGAAATTCATTACTTCCTCTACTAGCAAATGTGAAATTGTCATTTACCCTCATTTTCTTTCTTAAACCTATGAATGTGGAAGTTGAAAAAACCGCACAGAAGAATATGGAAGTTCAAACTGTTAACTACCTGAAGTTGAAGTGTGTGAAGGATGAAACTGCGGACAATGTCATACTCCCCTTTTAATAAGAATGCTATACCGGAAGGTATGAAGTCACGGATGAAAACTTGATCGTAGTTAAGAACACTTGAGCTGGTGGGGTCCTTTGCAGCTATAGTTCCAATAGGACTACCACAATAGGTCACAATGGATTCACGCAGTAGGTCCCACGCTTCATCCTCGATCATATCAAGACTAGTCTTTTGCATCTTATCATGGACTTTGCTATCAGACATCGAAACCTCCTTTTCTTTCTTTAACCTTTGAACGTCCTCCGAATCCAAGAGATTTGGTGGATTAACCATATCGTGAATGGTATTAAACTGTTTGGCATTATCCACAAACCATGTACCATTTCCATCCTCAGCAGTAAAACCACTAACACTTTCAGCATTTTTGCATTTACAACACGAATGATCAAATCGTCCGTTTTTGAAGCTTTCATACGGAATTCTAGGAGTTCTAGGAAACTGGCGATGAATATGACCGTTCTTGAAAATACTTGAGCACCTGAATAACCGAACAACACTTGATCCACTTCCCTTTTTGCATTTTGTAAGGGATCCAGGAGAAAATGTTAAATCCGACTTGAGGAATTGCTTCAAAGGTGCAACCCCACAGAAAACTTGCAAAATTGCTTCAGAAGAACCCATGGCAATAACTAGGCTTTATAGGTTCCAGCAAAAACCGAACGGATTCAATTCAAACACCCTGGTCCTCCCCTTCTGTTTGATATGCCTAATGGAAACATCAACCCGAAAAAGAAACAAAGTTAAAGATGCTATTATATCACTTGAAATCTTGGGTTATAGAATCAATTTAGCAATTTGGTCATATTTTCAAGATCAAAGAGCATGAATCGGCAGGCAGCCGGGGGTTACAAGTTTCACCCCAAAAAGTGGGTCTTCAAAAAGAAGGTCAAACATGAAACCACCCCATAACTTTGTTGGTAAGAATTTTCAATATTCAAATTTAAGGGTCAACTTGGATTTTCTTCTTCATGTTCAACTTTTAGACCTTGCCATTGGTAAGGATTTGAATATTGTATGCATAATAACCTCAATTTTCTCTGAATCTGAACAAATGGATATCAATGTCTGCTCCAAATGGCTTGTTTGACTACAAAAGTGATCTACAACAGAATCAACACCTAAAAGGGAAAACAGAATCAATACATAAAAGAAAAACAGAATCAATACTTGAAAGCAAACAGAATGCAGCAAATCATTATATCAACATGTTTAACCTAATTTAGCGCAGGATTCATGTACTGAAATAACGATCGGAGAAAACCCTTTTATAACCTTGGTAAAGATGAAACATCCTCTTTAATACGTCACCAAACACCACGATTAATTTTGAGATTTTGTCCTCAAATTATCAAAAACCACATTATAAACGAACTAGCAAACAGCATTTGGGAGTTAGGATTTGGGATTTGAACAGAACTATGAGATTTTTGGTGAAATCAAACCAAAAAACTAAAAATTACAAGAATTTACCTGATTGAAGTGATGTTGATACAGAAATCGTGAAGTTGAATTGAAGGAAGGTTATAATCTCTGATACCCAAGTCGAGAAATGGTCGATTTCTGTGTTTAAGTTGGCTAATTTGTTGAAGAATGGGGTTTTGAAAGGAAAAGTAAAAGGAAAACTTGAACGCATGAACAACAATTGAAGAACTGAATGCAGTGCTGTTTGTTTGTGGCTATATACATGTCTGCGTTGTTTTGTGGCGTCCTTCTTTCCCTTTTTCTACAGATATTTTTATTTTTTATTTTTGAAAATTGAAAAATCATTACTTTTTAATTTCCTCATAATAATACTAATATTTTATTATTTTAGTCCATAGATATATTTTAGTTGCATTTTATTAATAGATATTATAAGAATTTATTCTATTAAAAAATACATATAATGTTTTAATAAAATTAAGCAAATATCTAAAATAATTAAATAAAAACAATAAAAAAATATAATAATTAAATATAAAAGAAATCAAATAATATAATTTTTTAAAAAGAAAAGAAATTTAAAATAAAGGTTTTATTTTGCTATAAGTAACTTTTTTGCGCATACGAAAACGATGGTTCTCCCACGTGACAAAATAAAAGGTTAAGTTTAAAGCAACGTGTAATTTGTTTTTTTACGCATTTAAATGAATTACGAATTTATTTATTTTAATTTAAAATAATAAATCAGTAATTTCGACATACATAAACAAATTTAATACGATATTTTAGGATCAAAATAATTTAATTATAAAAAATACATAAAAACCGTTGTAACAAAACTGATTCTAAAAACAATCACATAATTAAGTGCTTATAAATTTCAACCCCTAATTAATTTTACACGTTATCCATTTAGATATGTTTTTTACTAGAAAGGTAATCATACAATACAACGAGATATATCTCGATTTCAATGTTTCATTTTATTTTTTTAGTCTCTGTCGATATTATAATACGTATTTATATGGTTTTGAATAAACAATAATGTTTTTCTTGATAAAATATAAATTTAAAGATACCATAAAATTTTTAAAAATTATAAAAGGTATCATGTTTGTGTAATTTCTTTGCTTCAATTTTTTGTTATAATTTAATTTAGGTTTGATGGCAAAGTAATTTATTTTTGGTTTAATAATATAATTTTTATAAAGATAATAATTAAGTGTTCTGTTAGAACTTAATAATTATCCTAATTATATTTTAGATATATTTAAAATAAGAATTTTATCCTGTAGTTGATTATATTTATTCATAGTTAGTTACACGAATTCGAATATGGAGCTTAATAAGTTGTACTTATGTACAATTTACTTGTAATTTTGAATTTTAAGTAATATGCATCAATAAACAATATTTCATATATAAAAGATGGTTTTTAAGAGTTTTTGTCAAATGTTTTATAATATGGTATAGATAACATTTTTACCATCGATTATGACGGCTTTTCACTTTGTTGCCATGTTTCTTCATCCAAGTTTTCGATAACCACATCAACATTAATATCAACGCAACCTTAAATCCAAGGGCAGACCCAGTTCATGAGATACAGTGATACACGCCATCACTACGCTCCTCTGTCGTAAGCTAAAAAAATCAGGCTCATTAAAGATGCAACAATATTGTAATGTTGGGTGCCACCGTATATATCTTAAAACTACAATAATAACACAAGTTAGTCTTGACATAGTTGGTTTGAACGACTTCTCCCATCCGAAACGCCGGTTCAAATTTTATTTCAGTCATTTCTCAGTTTTTAGTTGTTAATTTCAGGTTTATCATGTTTTTGAAAGAAATCGCGAAAAAGACCCAGATACAAGACCTCGCATACGAAAAGCAAAGAACTAACCAACAGATGAATGATGATTTCTTGAAAAATATCCGTAGCTTCGATTTTTGTAGTCAAATGGTAAGAAAATTCAAAGGTCAGCATCTACTTTAGCCTAACGATGTTCAAAATAGAAAAAGGCAACATGTAGAAAAGTATGGTCCACTCGTGTGTGGATAAAGTTGCTATATGTGTGACAAATTAGGCCAACACAATTTGATATCGACACCTATGATTTAACTCGTTTGGTACTCAACAAATGTGACTCGACTCCACAAAATTTGTATGCTAAAATTCTATCTTGTTGAGCCTCATGACGTAATTAACACGTGGTTTTGACTCGATCTTTGTTTCTCTTCAAACATTAACTAAATTTTATTAACAATATGTCTGTCGTATGAATTTCTGAACTAAAATTATCAAAGAAATATCATTTAAAAGTGTGAGAAAATTAAAAATAACAGTATTTTATTTATTATTATTATTATTATTATTATTATTATTATTATTATTATTATTATTATTATTATTATTATTATTATTATTATTAAGTCGTCTTAATCAAGTTCAGTTTAGATCGTAAAAACTATCAATTCAAATGTATTTAAAAACCAACCTAGTAGGTGATTCCATAGTTCTCCAGGTATTTTTATTTCATAAATAACTTTTATATTGCTTACTTAACGAGTTGAGTTTTATAACACCAATGTTCGACTCGGCTCTTCTGATAACTCGATTAAAATTTTCAAGTTGAGTCGAACTATTCGAGCATAACTTTTTCGAGCCAAACATGTTCATATGTTCATAAATCATAAAATAAAAAAATATAAATATTATCAATATAGAGCCAATAATGGAGTTCATCGATCACAAATTCGAGCCTGTAAACAGGCATTGAGCTCAAGCTCTATAACTGAAAAAATATCCGAGCCCGAGCTTGATCTCGAGCTCAAGTCTAATATGTTTTCTTAAGTCGAACTCAAATAACCTATTATTTAACTCGACCCGTTTACATCCCTAAATTCATGCATCAATTTGAAGAAGGAACGAGATTTTGTAATTCGGATATTTTAAATGAACCTCTTTCTATGTGTTTGGTGTCAGTACAGGACATGACAAGATAGAACAACTGTTCAAATGTTTGGTAAGATAAAACTGGACAGAACAAAACAAGTAAAATGACCAATTTATCCCTGATGAGTTGTTTATTTTAATTAATTTATATAATTTATTAAATTATAAAAGAATACCTATTTTTTATAACAAAATATATCATTTCAAATTTTCGTCAAAACAACTAGAATGACACCAAATAAAAAGTTTATATATTTTTTATTTTTATCTCTTTTCTACATTATTTTTTATTATTAATATATAATAAAATTACATAAATTAATAAAAATATAGAAACCGTATAAAAATAATATTTTGAGGACGGTAAAATGAAAGTTTAATGAAACATAAAATACAATAAATAAAATTTAAAAAATAAATAAAATGTAAAAAAGAGACATATTTAATGTTTTAAAAGAGAATTAAGTTTTATTTTGAGGTTATATTAGAAAAATATAAGTCTGTTACACCTTGTTCCACCCTGTTCCATGGGGTAGGGCTGGAACATGTCAGTTCCACTTTGTTTCACTTTGTTCCTATCTGTTCCACATAAAATTCATGCCAAACATAATACAAAGATCTCTGTCCAGTTCTGTCTTATCCCTATCCAATGTATCAAATGTACCCTATAAATAAAGTATTATTAACATAAATCACTTTGTCTCATCAATAAGGTTTTTTTTTAAATATACATAATAATTAACAATTAAATATTTTATTAATAACTTTTCAAAAAATATATTAATTGATGATTTTAAATTTTTTATTAATGAGTTTTATAAAAAGAAATGATAACTAATACTTAAATCTTTTATTTACTAAATTTAGGAAAATAGTTTTAATTGATGATTAATTATTTTAGGAAGAATATATATTAATTACTATTAATAAAAAAAAAACTTATGGGAAACAGATGGAAATAGTAGCAAAAAGAACTCTATAAGATTATTAACAAAATAATGATAAATAATTTTACATTAAATTACTCTTTGCCAAACCAAAAACAATTTTTACAATGAAATCAAAATAAATTAGTTCAGAGCATCTCCAACAAATCATTTAAAATACAAAAAATGGAGTTTCGGTTTTTTATCTCAGAAAAATCATAGAAAACTTGTTGAAGATGCTTTTATAAGTTATCAACATGTCTTAATTAAATGTGTGATTTTTCAGTTGTTTAAAATAGAAACATTTATGTTTAACATGTATTATTTTAAAACATTGTATGCATATTGACTAAAAGTTTACAATCTTTAAAAAATAAAAACATCGAAACAAAAGCTTACAACTTTTGTGTGTCGATGAAGAAGCTTATAACTCAGGTTTCCTCACTCCCAAACCTTCCAAAGATGATAATTTTTTTTTGATGAGTTACTCCATCGGATTGGAACGAGTCCTCTGATTTTGAGTCTGTTAACATGGTGGATCACTCTGTCGATAGGGACGTAAAGAAGAGGATTATGAATCTGCACGCAGGGTTTATCAATCAAGAAAAACTTAATAAACTCGTGAAGACAAGGGATGGGTCGGGGGATTATCAATCAAGAAAAGGATCTCCAAAAAAATGACGCGGGACTAGGGAGCTCTGATCGATGACACTGCTTGTTTGAAAAGTTTGGGCAAAAAAGTAGGATTCAAGAGTTGGGAGTAAGCAATTATAAGGTTAGATTTCCTTTCGATCTTATTACGTTTAATAAATATTCTGTCTTTAGATATTCTGTGATTGAACTGAAGTAGCAAGTTATTGTGGATAAGAGATTAGAATTATTGACTAAACCGAGCTTTATCGAACTTAAGAAACAAAGTTAAACTTGGTTAATGATGATTTTATTAGTAAATTATGGATTAGGCGTTTTGGAGGCCTTTTATCTATTTCAGACTCTTCATTTTTTATTATATAATTATTATTTTAATTATATTTTAGATTTTTTTATATTTAAAATAAGACATTTACCATGTATTTGATTATGTTTATCTGCAATTAGTTACATAAAATTTTAATAAGTTATGTTTAAGCCTAATTTATTTGTAATTAAGTTGTATTTAATTAACACGATCTAATTGTAATCTTAAATTTTAAGTAAGTAATATAATACTAGAAGGGTATTCGCGCAATGCAACGAAATACATCTTAATTTTAATATTTTATTTTACTCTTTATCTCAGTCGATGCTATAATGGTCTTATTTGATTTTTAAAAATCGATGATGTTTTTATTTTTAAATAAAATATAAATTTAAAGATATCATAAAAATTTGACAAAAATATATCGATATTAATATCAAATTAATTATTTAAAATTTATCATTTTTTGTGTAATTTTTAATTCAATTTTTTATTATAATTTAATTTAGTTTCAATAACGAATTAATTTATATTTGGTTTAATAATATAATTTTCTTATAAAGATAATAATTAATTATCTTGTTCGAATTCGATAATCATCCTAATTATATGTTAGATTTTTTATATTTTAAAATGAGATGTTTATCCTCTATTTGATTATGTTTATTCGCAGTTAGTTATATGAATTCAAACATGAAGCTTTAATAAATTGTACTTGTGCATAATTTACTTGTAATCTTGAATTTTAAGTTACATGCATCAATATATAGTAATTCATGCATAAAAAATGATTTTTAAGAGTTTTTATCAAATACTTTATAACATAGTGTATATATATATATTTATAATTTGGAGGTGAAATTTGACCGGTCATTTTACTCCTTAATTATCTCCTCTCGGAGGTAACCAACAAGCTAGCTGTTGTATCTATCCGACACCTTCTCCTGCCTGGTTGAATCATAACACATCCATCTCTATCATCTTAACAAACCCTAATCATCATGTCATTCTTCTACAAACCCTACTTTTTTACAAACTCATTCTCTCTCCATTTCTTCATAATCGGATCATCCGCCATTCATTTCTTTACTGATCAATCACTTCCACCTTCTTCTTCCTGTAAGTTCATCTAATTTCCTTTTATATATATATACACACACACACACATACATCCGTACATACATACATACATACATATATGTATATAATTTCCTTATGGTATTTGATCGTTTAATTTTATGAAATGGGTGTTTCTCGAAACTTAAAAATATCATAAAGAACTTCAGTTTTTCTTTCCAAATAAACTAAATCTCTGTATACGTTATATAATGAGTGTATCATGCAGCATGTATGATTATATGGAATGATATGGGTGTGACTACGATTAAATGAATTCTCCATTTTTTATATATGGTATCCTGCCGTTTTAATATAGAATTCCTTGTTTCTTGGTTCAAGCAAAGTATTTTCGAAAGCCATACGGTTGAATTCTGAAGGAAACCCAAGAGAATTAATTTCAATTCTCCGTATAATTTGTGGGCGGTGAAAGCGCGACAGGAGGAGATGGCGGCAGCACACGGCGGAGATGATCTGGCGAGGTCAGTGAGCCAGCGGTTGAGTCTGTCGGCGTCCAGTGCGAAATGGGCTTCCGCTAGCATCCGGGAGGCTTTCTCAGGTGCACCTGGAGGTGATGCTTTTGAAAGAGTAGGGCAACAAGATGATGAAGATGAACTCAAATGGGCTGCAATTGAGAGGCTTCCAACATATGACAGATCAAAGAAAGAAATGTTGGAGCAAGTTACAGCTGATCATGAAAGAAATGCAGGCATGGAGATTTTGGGTCATCAAGATAAGAAACAGCTTATGGAGAGTGTGCTTAAAGTTGTGGAAGAAGACAATGAGAGTTTTCTTCGTCGTCTCCGAGAAAGGATTGATAGGTGAATTTGCCAAGCCGTTGAGCACTATCACAAAATCGGCTTTACAAGACGTCGTCAATAGCAAAGTCTCTTAGGACTTAATAGACACACAAGCTACTTTACAAAGCTTAACTTGATAGGACCATACATTTGTATGTCACATCTAAAAGTGTTGTAATAAGTTTAAAGAACTTTTGGACGTATTAACAAGCGTTTCAAGACACTTTTGAAAGAAAATGTCATATTAATTAGTCCTTTTATATATAGAACACTTTTAAGAAGTGTCCGATATACACACATTTTTATAGGATACTTGTTCTATAACAAACCTTTTCAAATAGTGTGTTATAAAAGAGCTAATATGACATTTTTTTTCTTCAAAAGTGTCCTAAAAAGCTTTTTAAAGACGTCCAAAAGCATTACATAATCTTATTACAACACCTTTAGATATGACACACAGGTGTTTGGTCTTATAAACTTAAGTCATATAAAGTATGTAGTCTATTAAGACAGTGCGAACATTTTTGGTGTCCTATTAAGCCCGATTTTACTGTAGTGTTTGCTATAGCGAAAAGTACATCAATTTTCGGCTATTAACTTGTTTTCAAATATTTGCAAATGACAAGATATGGTGATTTGAACAGGGTTGGCATTGAAATTCCAAAGATTGAAGTCCGTTACAAGAACCTATTGATCGAAGGAGATGTATTCATAGGGTCCAGGGCACTTCCAAGTCTGTTGAATGCGACCCTTAATGCCATAGAGGTTTGTCAGATACATGTTTATTCATTATGAAGTAAACCTATCATTTTGATTTTGAGCGCTTTGATGTTCTAAACAGATCATTATTCATTAATGAATCGTGTATTGAATTTTTCTTTGTTGATTTTATTGCTGCTTTGCTTCAACAGGGATTTCTCCAAGCCATTAGGCTTTTTCCATCGAACAAAAAAGTTCTCAACATATTGCAGGATGTAAGCGGAATCGTGAGACCGTCGAGGTATGTTCTATTTTAACAAGTTTTTAAGACACTCCTAAAAGAAAGTGTCGCATTAGCTATTTTATACGACACTATTTGAATAAGTGTCCTATAAAAAAGATGGGTTTGTAGGACGGTTCTCAAAAGTGTCCAATACAACACCTTATAGGACACTTTAGAACGCCCCAAAAACATCCTATAAACTTATTGTAACGTTTGTAGATAGAACGATTTATAGTTTGCTCCTGTAAATATAAGTTTTATAAAATATTGTTTTAAAACGAGCAGGCGTTCCACGCGTTATTGTCGTGAGTCTTTTTAATAAGTATTTAAAGAGACTTTATACTTATAGGACCAAAAACCGGCGTCCTATTTAAAGACGTTACATAAGTTTCAGGAAGAAGTTAGATGACTAACAAGTGCTATATACAAACTTTGGCAACCTAACGAGACACAAAAAATAAATCGTTCTATTAGCCTTTTTATACATGATATCTTGAAGTTGATACACTAATACAAAATTGGGTTTATAAGACACCGTCAATCTCTAAGCGTCCCAATAGACTGCTTTATAGGACTTAATTTATAGGACCAAAATATAAAACGTTCCATCTAAAGATATTGTAATAAGTTTATTATAATTTCTTTTGATAGGACGCTTTATTTTTTTGGTCCTATAAACTAAGTCTTATAATAAGGTCTATTAGGACCCTTAGAAATAGGGAATGTCCTATAAACCCGATTTTGTTGTAGTGATATGACCATTTTCAAAGAAGTCTTATAAAACGGAATTTACTTTTTGTATACTATTAAGTTGTCTAACTTCGTTCATAGAACTTGTTAGGTAGCTAAATTCGTCTTAACAACTTATTGCAACGCTTTTAGATACGACACGTTCTGGTCCTATATATAAACTTAAAGTCCCATCAAGTATTCTATGATGCCTGAGAACGATTGAGCGTCCTAAAAAACCAATTTCGTTATGTTCTGGGATACCCGAGTGAAAACAGCTTCTTTTTACAGGATGACACTACTTCTCGGACCTCCGAGCTCGGGGAAAACGACCTTCTTGACGGCACTTGCTGGAGTACTAAAAAAGGATCTAAGATTAACCGGAGAAGTTACTTACTGCGGTCATAAAATGTCGGAATTCATTCCTCAGAGAACTTGTGCGTATATCAGGCAACATGATATCCACCATGGTGAAATGACCGTTAGAGAGACCTTAGATTTTTCTGGCCGTTGCCTCGGTGTAGGAACTAGATACGACCTTCTATCAGAACTATCGAGACGAGAGAGAATCGCCGGGATCACACCGGACCCTGATATCGATGCTTTCATGAAAGCCACATCAACGGCCGGTCAAGAATCTAGTTTGGTTACAGACTACGTCCTCAAGGTTTATATATCTAGCTCGATCACAATCTCAGTTGTTTTCGTTATATATAGTTTAAGTAACTACAATACGCGAATGTGAACAGATACTCGGATTAGATATCTGCGCGGATATCATGGTCGGTAACGAGATGCGAAGAGGAATCTCGGGTGGCCAGAAGAAACGTGTGACTACAGGTATGCAAATCGTGTGTATGCACTACAACAAAATTGGGTTTATAGGACACCCCCAATCTCTAAGCGTCCCAATTGACCACTTTATAGGACTTAATTTATACCACCAAAATATAAAATGTCGTACCTAAAAGTGTTGTAATAAGTTTATATGACGCTTTTAGGTGTCTTAACAAGTTTTTGAGGACATTTTTAATATAAAGTGTCGCATTAGCAACTTTATAGGACAATTTTGAAAAATTGTCCTATAAAATCAATTTTTTATAGGACATTTGTTTTTAAATAGTGTCCTATAAAGTTGATAACCATATTTGGTGATTGCAGGAGAGATGTTAGTAGGGCCTGCTAAAGTATTTTTCATGGATGAAATTTCTACTGGTTTAGACAGTTCGACTACTTATCACATCGTTAAATACATGAAACAAATGGTTGATACCATGGATGTCACCATGATCATCTCTCTTCTTCAACCCGCACCCGAAACCTTCGACTTATTCGACGACGTTATCCTCCTTTCCGAGGGTCAAATCGTGTACCAAGGCCCACGTGAAAACGTTCTCGACTTCTTCGAAGACGTCGGATTCAAATGCCCCGAAAGGAAAGGAGTTGCCGACTTTTTACAAGAAGTTACCTCAAGAAAAGATCAAGAACAGTATTGGTTCAAGAAACACGAACCTTACTCTTTCGTCTCCGTGCCAGAGTTCCGGCATCTTTTCAGCAAGTCTCAGCTCGGCGAGAATCTTTCTCACGATCTTTCGATTCCTTACGACAAAACCCACACGCATCCAGCCGCTTTGGTGAAAGAAAAATTCGGTATTTCCAATGTGGAGCTTCTAAAAGCGACATTGGCACGAGAATGGTTGCTAATGAAACGAAACGCGTTTTTATACATCTTCAAGACGTTTCAGATCACGATAATGTCGATTATCGCGTTCACCGTGTTCTTTAGAACCACGATGAAAAGCGGTCAGCTCAAAGATGGTGGAAAATATATGGGTGCATTGTTCTTTAGTCTTCTTAACGTGATGTTTAACGGCGCTGCTGAGCTTGCGCTAACCGTTATGCGACTTCCGGTGTTCTTTAAACAACGGGATTCGCTATTTTACCCTGCGTGGGCATTCGCCCTCCCGATTTGGGTTGTGAAAATCCCGATATCGGTTATGGAGTCGGTGATATGGATTTGTATGACGTATTACACCATCGGGTTTGCTCCGTCGGCAAGTCGGTTTTTTCGACAACTTTTGGCGTATATTTGTGTGCACCAAATGGCTTTGTGTCTCTTTCGTTTTATAGCTTCGATTGGGAGAACACAAGTGGTCGCAAGTGCTCTTGGGACCTTTACGCTGCTGATAATTTTTGTGCTTGGAGGATTCATCGTAGCAAAAGGTTTGTAACCCATCACTTTCTTGGTGACACTAAAAAAAAATATCTGTTTTATAGAACGTCAAATATAAACTGATTTATACCGTTTTACAGAACCAAACAGTTATGCATTGAATTATGACGTGTTTGGACATCCTAACGAGTTTTTTAAGGTACTTTTGAAATAAAATGTCTTATTAATTAATGTTTTATAATACATTTTTGAAAAGTGTCGTATGAAAGCCATTTTAGCCTAAGGGTTTAATGATCAAGCCATAAAGAAACACTCGTGTATGGCTGAGTGATTAAGCCACAAAGAAACACGCGTGTATGGCTGAACAATTAAGCCGTCCAGACCATTAAGCTCATTAGGTTGTAAGTAAAGATATATTTGACGTCCTATAAAACCAATTTTGTTGTAATGATTATACGTCTTGTTGCTAACGTGTTCGTATCGGTTATAGATGACATTGAGCCGTGGATGATCTGGGGCTATTACGTTTCACCCATGATGTACGGACAAAATGCCATCATGATCAACGAGTTTTTAGATGATAGATGGAAAACGGTAATTAAGCTCGATCAATGGTAACTTTTAATCGAAGTTTTGTCATTTATTTTGCATCAGTTTCATGTACGTTTTCTATTTTACAGCCAAATCCCGATCCACGAATCAACGAACCTACGGTAGGCAAGGTTCTTTTGAGTTCTAGAGGCATGTTCAAGATGGCCTATATGTATTGGGTCTGTGTCGGTGCACTATGTGTGTTTTCGTTGATCTTCACGATCTTATTCATTTTAGCGTTGACGTATTTGAATCGTAAGTTTATGTTCCATGTTTTTCGGATCGTCATCTGTCTTAACTCTTAAGGGGCTGTTTACTAAGTGCTTATAGTCTCTTACCGCGTAAGTAGTGCTTACTGGGTAAGAGATAATGTTGTTTAACGACACCTTTGACCAACAGATGTTGCTTTGACCTGGTAAGTGTGCAGAGGCTTACGTACTTACCTACCAGGTCAGAGCATGTTACCCGATCAGTGTTTATCTACTTTTTTAGTAAACGGCCCCTAAGTTCTTGATCGATCTAATGTATGTTTGATATAAAATGCAGCTTTTGGAGATTCAAAAACTGTTCTTCCAACTGAAGATGAACAAAATAAGCACCACAAATCAGCCACTAATCAAGGTTCTTGTCCTCTTTCCCGTATAATAAAATTAGTTTTATAATACGTCAAAGATGTCTAAATGTTCTAATAAACTGTTTTTATAGTCACTATAACAAAATTGGGTTTATAGGACATCCTCAATCTCTAAGCGTCCCAATAGACCATTTTATAGTACTTAATCTATAGAACCAAAATATAAAGCGTCATATCTAAAAGTGTTGTAATAAGTTTATATGACGCTTTTGAACGTCTTAACAAAATTTTAAGGACATTTTTAATGGATACTTTTGAGAAAGTGTCCTATAAACTCATTTTTTTATAGGAAATTTGTTTTTATAGGACAATTTTTCAAATAGTGTCCTATAAAATTAATAATGAGACGCTTTATATTATAAGTGTCCTAAAAAACTTACTACGACGTCAAAAAACGTCATATAAACTTATTGCAACACCTAGGACACTTTATTTTTTGGTCCTATAAACTAAGTTCTATAAAGAGATCTATTAGAATAGAATTTGGGAGTGTCCTATAAACCCGATTTTGTTGTAGTGAGTACTATAGTTTAATTATAGGACACCGACAATTGTTTGTCTAATATAAAAGTGTTACAATAGAATGTTAGGACGTAATTTGGACATCCTAACAAGTTTTTAGGATACGTGAAATAATATATATTTCCAGTTTTTTTATGGAAAATTTGTAAGAAATTTCATGTGGACACGTATTTTTATAGGACACTTGTTTTTATAAGACATTTTTTTTTTCAAATAATGTCATATAATAAGACTAATATAACGCTTTATTATAAAATTGTCTTAAAATACTTGTTAAAACGCCCAAAAGCTACATAGCGCGTATAATTGTTTGGTCATATAAACTTAAGTTTTATAAAACAGTTTATTAGAACATTTAGAAATATTTAATGTTTTATAATGAAATCTTAGAGATATACTTAATTTAGGTACAGAAATGGCAGGAAGGAAAACAAATGGAGCTAAAAAGAAAGGGATGGTGCTGCCATTTCAGCCATTGTCACTTGCATTTGATCATGTCAATTACTATGTAGACATGCCTGCTGTAAGTCCAATAATCTACATATATATATATATATATATATATTCATGTAAGCAGTTATATATTTGAGAAAAAGGTTAGTTTACATGGAACCTGTGGTTTATAGCCACAGGGATTTCAGAGCTGACTCAACGGCTGAAGCTAACCGACGGGTTCAACCCCATCTCTCTAAATGAAACTTGAAGTGTATTTGAGCAAAGTCACTCCGCCCCTTTGTCAATTGAGGTAGACGCCCAGGGGCTGATCATTAATTTTGTATATATATGATTAAGGAAATGAGAGCTCAAGGATTCGAGGAGGATCGTCTACAACTGCTACGAGATGTGAGTGGTGCGTTTAGGCCGGGTATCTTGACAGCGTTGGTTGGAGTCAGTGGTGCCGGAAAGACGACCTTGATGGATGTTTTAGCTGGAAGAAAGACGGGTGGTTATATTGAAGGGAATATCAGCATCTCCGGGTACCCTAAAAATCAAGAAACTTTTGCTCGTGTGAGCGGATATTGTGAGCAAAACGATATCCATTCTCCACACGTTACAGTTTACGAATCCCTCATGTATTCTGCCTGGCTGCGTCTCGCTCCAGATGTAACCGATCAATCACGACAAGTAAGGCTTTTCTTAGCTTCGCAATATTATCACTACCACAAAATCAGCTTTACAAGCGGTCAAATATGTCTAAATATTTTGTTATAGCGAGGCTAGTAACCGTAGCTAATTTGTTCCGTTAATTCTCCTGTGGTTTTAGATGTTCGTGGAGGAAGTAATGAATTTGGTGGAGTTGAATTCCGTAAGGGATTCACTAGTCGGCCTTCCAGGAGTAGACGGTCTCTCGACTGAGCAACGGAAGAGACTCACGATAGCCGTTGAGTTGGTTGCCAACCCTTGTATTATCTTCATGGACGAGCCCACATCAGGGCTCGACGCAAGGGCTGCAGCCATCGTCATGCGAACGGTCAGGAACACGGTTGATACGGGTAGAACCGTCGTCTGCACGATTCACCAACCGAGCATCGACATTTTCGAAGCCTTTGATGAGGTTCATTAAGTCGGCTTATTAATTGTGGGTAAATATATACCTTGTCATGTTATGTTGTTTTGAAATATACTGATTTGATCTCTTTGAATTCAGCTATTCTTGATGAAAAGAGGTGGTCAGGTCATTTATGCTGGGCCTCTTGGACATCATTCTCACCTGCTAGTTGAATACTTCCAAGTGAGTATTCTATAAATGTTAAAAACCTCTCTTTGAGGTGTTTCATCTGGTTTTTAAAATAAAGTGTCATATTAACTATTTAAAAGAGTGTCCAATAAACACAAGTGTCTTATAAAAAGATGGGTTTACAAGGACACATCTCAAAAGTGTCATATATGTAACATAGTGAATACAACACTTTATTTTAAAAGCGTTTTAAAAAACTTGTCAAAACACCCAAAATCGTCTTATAAACCTATTGTAACACTTTTAGATATAATATTTATTGTTTTGGTTCTGTAAACTTGAGTTCTATGAAGTATCACTATAGGGTCTGACGCTCTTGGGCAATCTCTGTTGGTCTTGCCCCCTCTCTAACGACAGTATGTGACGGTCTAGCCTCCATTAGAGAAGGGGTTTGTTGCAGTTTCATATCAGCTAGACTTAGACCATTTTATCCTCAATACATGTTGGACCTTTTTCTATCCTACAAAACTTTTTGCAGAGTTATTTTATAGGGTTTCACATATTCTCATACTTAAATATATAGACCTTTGTTTTCGTATGCGTCTTTTGTCATTGTTCTGTATTTTATAACAAGAAAGCGTTTTTCAGTCGTTTCCAGGGGTTACCAAGATAACAGACGGTCAAAATCCCGCAACTTGGATGCTTGAAGTCACTTCTTCCACGGTTGAAGCTCAACTTGGCGTTGATTTTGCAGCGTTCTACGCTAATTCTGAATTGTATAGGTATGCATTTGATCCATCCATCGTACTTTTCATCCCAATTTTGACACACTACAACATAATGTGTTTTATAGCCTAGTGGTAAAGGCTTGGGCATGACATAGTCATGAACCCGAGTTCGAGCCCTGGGAGGGGAGTGTTGGCGACATTTAAGTGGGGCCATGTTTAGCCTCCAAAATTGCCGGGGATTAGTCGGGCTTTGGCCCGGACACCATTACAAAAAAAATATGTCTAAATGTCATAAAACATTGTTTCTATACAATTTTATGTCCTATGTAAACGTGTTATCATGAGTTGATGGGACATTTTTGGAGGTTTTAACAATTTTTTTAGAACCCGTTTGATATTAAACGTCATATTACTCTTTATATGACATTATTTCAAAAGGTGTCCTATAAAAATGTGGTTGAGAGGTCCTGGGGATGTGGTGGAATATCTCATTTGCCCATGGTTTGAATCCAGACGTACACAACAATTGTGGTCACTGAGTTTATCATCAGGATTGATTTCTTACAGCCACAATTTGTCGGGATTAGTCCAAGCATATAGCTTGTGACACCCTTCCAAAAAAATGTGTTCATAGCTCATAATTCTTCAATAAAAGCTAATGGGATACTTTATTTCAAAAATGTTCTAAAAAACTTGTTAGTACGATCAAAGATGTTTTATCAACTTATTGTAACACTTTTACACATCTAATAAAGCACACTTTGTTACACTACAACAAAATTGGCTTTGCAAGACACCTAGAATGTCTAAGCGTCTTAATATAATATTTTATAGAATTTAAGTTTATAAACCAAACTATAAAGCGTCATATCTAAAAACGTTATAATAGGTTAATATGACGCCTTTAAGCGTTTTAACAAAAAAAATTAGGACGTTTTTATTATTAAGTGTCATATTAGCTATTTTATAAGACACTTTTGAGAAAATGTCTTATAAACTCATCTTTTTATAAGACATTTGTGTTTGTAGGACATTTTTTCAAATAATGACATACAAAATAACTGATACGACACTTTATTTTTAAACCGTTCTAAAAAAATTGTTAGAACGTCAAAAGCGTCTTATTAACCTATTGTAACACTTTTAGATATGATGTTTTTTGGTTAAGTCCTATAAGGTATTTTATTCGGATGTTTAATCATCTTAGGCATCCCAGACAACCAATTTGCTTGTAGTGTTAGGACATGTTTAATATCATATAAAGCCGATTTTGTACTAGTGACATGTCATAGATCAGACGAAGACTCGTGAATCTGTGACACAGGAGGAATCAGGAGCTGATTAAAGAGCTGAGCACACCCGCACCCGGGTCCGACGACCTACACTTTGCAACAAAATACTCGCGATCGTTTTTCACACAATGCAACGCCTGCTTTTGGAAACAACGTTTGTCGTATTGGAGACATCCACAGTACAATGCTGTTCGGTTCTTGATGACGACGGTGATTGGGATCATTTTTGGAATAATTTTCTGGGACAAAGGCCAAAAAACGTAAGAATTATACACCATTCGTCCCAAAAATAAGTGTCTCCGTTTCTATTTTAGTTTGTTCCACAATAAGTATCTGCTTTTAAAAGTAAATGCCCTCTTCAGAATGCCTACCCATAATTATGTTAGTGAATGCACAAAAACCAATCATATGATGATTGTAACTTTGAGTTTTGTTTCATGAAGTTAATAAATATAAATGCATTGCCTGTTTTATTATGTCTATATTATATTATGTGTTTTAATTATTCATAATAAATAATTTTAGAATAATGTATTCTAATGTCCCTAGTTAAATATTATTTCGGGTTTAAAGTCGAAGTAATATGATAATGACTAGCATATATAGGGATTCATATAGAGATATCGAATCTGCATATGGGTACAAAATGAAGATTTAGTTAATTGAAAAGTGTAATAATTACATATTTTCTAAAACTAAAACTGTATTCCTTTTTTCATCGTGGACAGGAGTCGACAACAAGATCTGATGAATATGTTGGGAGCTATGTATGCGGCCGTTATGTTTCTTGGAGGAACGAATACTTCTTCAGTGCAAGCCGTGGTGTCGGTAGAGAGGACGGTTTTCTACCGTGAAAAAGCCGCAGGGATGTATTCGCCGCTCCCATACGCATTTGCTCAGGTATATAAAATACTCGACAATTGGGATCCCTTTTGGCGATCGCAAAATACCATCTTTTATCATGGGTCATTTGGTTAAATGACCTTCTGATTTTTTTAAATCCATATCCTCTGCTAGACATTATCTAGCAGAACGTCATGGATTTAAAAAAGACTTTGTTTGAAGATGATTTATTGTCTCGTAGCGACTTATATCGATGATCAATTTAACTCTTCGATTTGCAGGTGGCAATAGAGGTGATTTACGTTTGTATTCAAACGTTGATTTACAGCCTTTTGCTTTACTCGATGATCGGATTTGCTTGGTCGGCTAGCAAGTTTTTCTGGTTCTACTTCTTCGTGTGCATGTGTTTCATTTACTTCACATTATACGGGATGATGCTTGTAGCCCTAACTCCGAACTACCATATCGCTGCCATTACAATGTCCTTCTTCCTCAGCTTCTGGAACTTGTTCTCCGGCTTCCTTATCCCGAGAACGGTGTGTGTTTGTGTGTGTGTGTATATATATATATATATATGTGTGTGTGTCCTCTCTTTTACAAACCCAATAATTCATACAAACTTACGGACTAGTTTTCGTGTTGTTTTACATATGAAACAATACTTGTGAAAATGCATTGTTTATAAAGTGTTGTTTCATACGTGAAACATGGAGAATTGCTTTGTGTATGAAACAACACTGTATAAATATTGCATTTTCACATGTATTGTTTCATATGTAAATAACAAACGAAAATTGGTCTATAAGTTTGTATGATTTATTGGGTTTATAAATGATTACATGTGTGTATATAGGGGTTGATTCAAATAAAAAGGCTAAATATCGTGAAAATGTAAGAAGAGAAAGTTCATAGGTGATTTATTGAAAAACTCTGGGAAAAAAATATTATTTGAAGATGCAAATGTGGACCGACGTTACAGATTATTCATATGAGTTCCCATATGCATCTTCAAATTGATTTTTTTAACGATTCACTCCATGAACTTTTTTTAGCCTTCTTTTACCTATCTCCGCACTATACATATATATGGGGTGAGAGTAAGGGGCCGTTTACCAAACACTTACCCGGTAAGCGCTTACCGGTAAAATTTAGCACTATTATTTATTTATCGAATAAGATTTTAGTCCACCAAAATGACATCATATTCAACAATTTGCCTGGTAAGCACTTACCATGGTAAGAGTCGTCGTCTTCACTTACCGGGTAAGACTTTTGGTCCTTGTCTCGCTCTTACTGGGTAAGATTCTTGGTCTTTATCATATTCATCCGGTAAGGTAATGTGACTTAGTAAGCGCTTACTCGGGTAAACGTTTGGTAAACGGACTCTAAGAGTTATGGTGAGAAGGTGAGAACGGAACCTTCCTATACCTTCATCTATATTCAACTACCTTTATTTACCTTTTTTTATTAACCTGTATATCCAACCCACTATGTGAGCTAACTAATCCCAGGGGGCGACTACCTGCTTTACAGATAGCCCGAAGTCACAGGCATTTGAACCTCCGTGGCTACAAGGGGATTTTTATTCCTCCTTGGATTTGAACCTGGGACTTCCTGATACTTTTGACCTTTAGAGCCAAGCTCAAACCAATCAGGCACCCTTGTAGTTGCCTTTTTTTATCATCATGATCGAAAATTTAACAAATTCATTCATGTTAAAGTGGTTAGATATATGTAAAAATTCGTAAAAATGACTTAGAAGTGAAGATAATTTTGAAAATGAAAGTAGATGAACGTAGTTGAATGTAGTTGGAAAAAATTAAGTCAGATTAGAAAGTCAACTCATCCAAAGGCTCAGAAGTATTCTCATCGTTCTCACTATAACCCTTATTTTCACACAACCCCTTGTCTATATATATGTATATGTATATGTATATGTATATGTATATGTATATGTATATGTATATGTATATGTATATGTATATGTATATGTATATGTATNGTATATGTATATGTATATGTATATGTATATGTATATGTATATGTATATGTATATGTATATGTATATGTATATGTATATGTATATGTATATGTATATGTAACACATTCCATATTAAAATCTAACTACAATTATTAAGCAATATAACCGGGTTTAATTTGCAGCAAATTCCGATATGGTGGAGGTGGTATTACTGGGGATCTCCGGTGGCATGGACGCTATACGGGCTGATTACATCTCAAGTGGGTCAAAACGAAAACCTGGTTTTAGTCCCGGGAGCTGGTTCGATTCCGGTCAAGGACTTCATCAAGGGTTTCTTAGGATACGAGTACCATTTTCTCCGCTACGTTGCAATGGCTCATATTGCTTGGGTTGTTCTCTTCTTCACCATTTTCGCTTGTGGCATCAAATTTCTTAACTATCAAAAAAGGTAAGACACGGAAAAAAACATTCGAAAATTGTTAGAGAGGATCGATTTAATTTACGAGCTTTTGGTGGACGAAAACCGATCCATTTACGGAAGGAATAGTTGAACAAATTTTGTTACTAGTATGTATTTCCTTTATAAAGTGTACAGCATTTGTTTCTTTTGTTCAATATAAAGAGAGCATGAGAACTTGTAGATGTTAACAAATTTTCGTATCAATCCGACCGGATCTTGATAATTAGTTAAGATTCAAAATATCGTAAGCAATTGGGATTTTAGTAGGGGAAAGAGACCAACCCGAAAAAACCGGGGAATGGGACACAGATTCCAAAAGTTAAAAATCTGGGATTGGGACAAGGTCGGGTAACATGAGCTTTTCAGACAGCTCGGCAACAGAAACAATTGTTGATGTTCTAAGGGTGCGTTTGGTACGCAGACAGGACAAGACAAAACAGGACAGGACAGGACAGAACAGGACAGTTGTTCAGCGTTTGGTAAGACATGACATGATATATGAAAAAGGTAAATATAATATAAGCATCAAGAATTTATTATCGAAGCAAATCTATATGCATTTCATACTAAGAAGAAAAAATTACTACCAACAAACGCACAATCAATTAAAATGGATTAAATATCAAATAGTAAATAAAATATAAGCATCAAGAAAACAATTTGGCTAGTGATCCCATATAGTATCATCACATTCACAAAACTTGGATTCCAGAAAACAAAAGAAATCACCTATCACCTATGCAATCACTTCTGTAAGATCAAAATCGAATATTTACTACTCTGATCAAGGGAAAACATACAAAACTCATCGAAAACAACAAATTGCATGCGTGAACCTTATGCAATACGTTTGACGGTGATAAAATCAAGAAAACAATTTATGTAATTTATTAAATTACAATAGAATAAATTATTTTTTATAACAAAATATATCATTTGAAGTTTTCGTCTAAACAATAAAAATGATACCAAATAAAAAGTTTGTGGTTTTCTATTTTTATTTTTCTCTTTTCTACATTATTTTTTATTATTAATATATAATAAATTACATAAATTAATAGAAACCGTATAAAAATAATATTCTGTGGATAGTAAAATAAAAGTTTAAGAAACATAAAATACAATAAATAAAATTTAAAGAATGAATAAAATGTAAAAGAGAGACCTATTTAATGTTTTAGAAAAGAATTAAGTTTTATTTTGAAGTTATATTGGTAAAATATAAGTCTGTTCCACCTTGTTCCACCCTGTTCCATGGGTTTGTTCCACTCTGTTCATGTATGTTCCACATAAAATTCATGCCAAACATGGGAGAGGAATCCATGTCCTGTTCTGTCATGTCTCTATCCAATGTACCAAACACACCCTAAGAGAACATAAAAAACGAGTACACAAAAGCCAAATAAACAAAAAAAAAAAAAAAAAACTTAAATTCATATGGAATTTCGACACGAGGAAAAGGGCTTAATTAGCTAAGCAGCGGTACATCTGTTGGTTTCTTAGTAATAATATATGAACCAATGGCTGAAACAGCAAACTAGGCCAAATTAGAGAATAAGCTCCATAACCTATCTGCTCTATTTTCCATTGATCCAATATATAACCAGTAGTAGAAAAAAGAACATATAAAAAACAACTCCATACTTTTGCTTCTTCTTTACTTACTCGGCTTTCACAGGAGCATCGGCAATGTCATGAATTTCCTTCTTGCTCTTAATCGAACACTTCCTTTTCGTATCAAAATCGACTTTATCCAAATCTTCCGCAATACCCATGTACCCAAACACCACCCCTTCTCCATCTTTATCTCCATTTCCGTTTTCGCCTTTGCTCTTACCCTTGCTGTAACTCATTTGCTCCACTTCTTTTCTCCCATGCTTGTTCATTGCAAAATATTGATGAATCCGCTCTGCTTCTTGTAACCCAGAAAACGTACCCAGAAATTTAACCAACATCATGCTGCAGTTTGCAGGTTTCCCCAGCCTAACTTTCCCACTGCTCAAACCTTTACCTGGCATCAGAGGAAAAGGGTCTAGATCAGTCACGAAAACTTGTTACTCCCACCGTCCCGAAAAAAGGGCACACAGTTCTAGATATGAAACTAAACGACAATGTTACCCTTATGAATAGATGGAGTAAGAGAATCTTCAATAGATTCTCTATAATTTTTCTAAAATAGAGATCAACAAGTCAAAATATTTAAAGATTACATTCAACTCCAACAAATTCTCTATAGTAGAGATTTCAACATTAATCATATTATCAAAATATTCTGTGATGTTATCATCCCAATGCACTTTTTTAAAAACTTTATATAAAATAAATAATTCAATCTCGCTGGTGGAAAGAATATAAAAAAATCAACCACAAGGATAGTGCCTGATTGGTTTGAGCTTGGCTCCAGAGATCAAAAGCACCAGGAGGTCCCAGGTTCAAATCCAAGGAGGAATAAAAATCCCCTTTGTGGCCACGGAGGTTCAAATGCGGAGACTCCGGGCTATTTGCAAAGCAGGTGGTCTCCCTGGGATTAGTCAGCTCGCATAGCATGTTGAATATCTAGGTTAATCAAAAAAAAAACATTTCTCTCTCCTCACTTTAAATTTTAGAGAATTCTCTAAACTTGGTTTTCTCTTGTTTTTCTCTATGTTAGAGAACAATAAGAAGAATCTATTGTAACACAATAGCAACAAAATCTCCATTTTCTCTATTTTAGAGAATCTCTTGAAGATGCTCTAAAGAATTTCTCTATCTAATACAGATAATTAAGGGTAGAATCGAAAAGTATGCACTTCATTTTAAAAGTTGGCACTTATTTTGGGACAAACTCAAATAAGAATGTAGTCACTTATTTTGTATAAATAGATGTTGAAGAATAGCAACTTACCTCGGAGAAACTGTCCCAGTGCTTCTATGGTTGTGGGTCCCTGGCCATTTGAATTGTTGTTCGAGATAGAGGTGTTATGAATAATGATGACTGGAGGCCAGATTATAAGATCTTCTTTTTGAACCAAAATTTCAGTGCTAGAAAGGCTCTCTGGATACCATCTAATAGTTTCTGGGGGAATAGCACCGTCCCAACCTAACATAACGCATATTGCCTTGTGGAGTCCTAAATGTTGAGCCCTCAACCCAACCTTGTGAGACATAAAAGCATGCATTGCTAACCGTCGAGTGTCTAGGAACTCTTTTGACAGGCTGAAAGGAAGTAGAACAATTCAAAGTGAGAATGAGTACGTAAAAACACACATTAACATCATCCGCAATGACCACTAAGCTCATACTCCCTCTATCACAAAACAAATGCCCTAAATAGAAAAAGCGTCCCGTTTTAGAAACGTATAACTATTTACACTTTTTTAATTGACTAAATGACGGTTTTACCCTTAATAATAGGAGTAATGGATTTCTCCATGTCATAACTAAGGGTAGAATTGGAAAGTATGCCCTTACTTTTGAAAGTGAACACTTATTTCGGGACAAACTAAAATAGAAATTTCGACACTTATTCTGGGACTATGTAGTAACAAGAAAGAAACATATTGCTTTGCAAACTCCCATGAAGTTATTAAAGGAGGCCCTACAGATGTCCCAATAATGTTTAATAGCTTCAGCTAATACACTGGTTTTCCCTTTGCCTCCAATACAATAGAAATACTTCTAGCATGTAACTTTTTGAAACCACCCGCTGCACACAGTTAACCTTAATTAATACATGCAGAGTACTTCAATGCCTGTAATTAGTTCTGAATCTAGGACATAATTTAAACCACTATGATCAAGAGATCAGAATCCCTACCAGCAGGCCAGAAAAATACGCTTTTAATTTTAGACGTCATGACAAAATCATACAAATTAGTTTTAATTCTTGCAACTTAACATTGCTTTGCAGATATGAATTCTTAAATGGTAAAGAAACAAATGTGTACATGAGCATTCTTTCTCTAAGAGATGCAAGATATGGAGAATCATGAGGAGCTGCTTATACAAAATAAAGAGCATAAATAGTAAAAGCAAACACATATACATACAAAGAGGCCAAATATTTGACAGAAAGGATTATAGATACAACTGCAGCATGTCTAAAAACAGTCAGGCACCCATTCTTAAGTTTTTGTTAATAAAAAGATTACTAGTGTACAACACAATGAAATATAGATGACAAGATGTGAACAAAAATTTTGTCACTGAAATGAGAAATTGTAAACTACCATGCATCTTATGCTTGCAGGCATCAAACTTTAAGATAAGTTCTTGCTTGACACCCAAGGTAATGCATATTATAGCAGAATAATTGCACCAAATTCCATCATTAATCTGATCTTAGTTGGTATAAAAAAATGACAAATAAGCAATATTAGAACTCAGGAAGAGCATAAATGTCAACGTCGTACCACTATAACAAGAACATGGCAAGAACATTAACAGCTACACTCAAACAATAACAGCTACAAGCATCTCAATTAGGATTGAAAACATGCTTTTTTTACCTTTTGCCAGAACAGAAACCAGAGGCAGCAAACACTAATCAGAGGGCTTCTTCTCAAATTTCAGGTCCCTTAATAACATCACAATTGCATGAGAATGTTGTATGGACATTTTAAGGGAGATGGTCAACAGTAAAATTCTATTGTACAGGACAAATGGATCGTAAATTATTCTTTCCATATATCTTAGGTTTCAATGTATAATTTGGGTCAAAGAATATGGAGCTCTCTTCTACTTACCATGTTTGTCTTTCCAGGGAGAGAACAAGATAATGACAAAATAGCACATGATTTGGATTAAATGAACACAGCAAACACTCCCTTCCTCACTCCTTATCTCTCAAATTTCTGTCCACAATACTCGTGTAATATTGGCCTCTCTCTCTCTCACACACACATTTATGCCATATTCCAGATGAATTAGACTGGCTATTCACCTATCTCTGTGGCAGAAATTCTCCTCTCTTGCTCTCTGTGTGTGTACATGATAAGGAGATTATATATCTCAACTATATCACAACTCATCAAAACAAAGAGAATTTTCCTCCTGCTAGTAGAATAGCTTCTCTTCACTTGTCGATATGTTACTGCAATAGCTAGAATCTATAAAAAGACATATCCAAGGTAAATGGTTCAGGCCTATCACAATTTACACATTGCTCCTCTGGTAGGGCCCTTGTTAAGTTTTCCTCAATCTGGCATGATTGATTGAAGAAAGTGAGATATATMTATCATCTATAGATAGGGCAGGCCTACCCTCCTTCTTATCATCCCAGAAGAACTTGGTATGTGAAGGCTCCAAGAGCTAGACATTGTAATTTAATTGGGAGTTCTTACCAACCCTGTTTTTCTTGCAGCAAAGTGTGATTGTGGCAGGTACTGCCCAAGCTTTACAAAAGCTGACAATTCCATCAACTGAAAGATAAATACTCCAATTTAAGCATAGTCGCCACCTCGTATAGCTAGCATCTCTCATGAATGTTTATGTATATGCTCCAAAGCTACTGCAAAGAGCAGTCAATTTAAACCAAGTGCAGAGTCACCCATCTAGAGCAAGTCCAAATGAGCAAAGCTGTTGACTTCAGGTGTAAAAGAAACTTACTCCTATTAACCCATTCACCTTCCTCATTGAACTACACACCACAGACAGCCATATTAGCTCAAAAGTATCCTTCGAACACGTATTTGCAGAGACCTATTAATCATCCAAGAATTGACTTGCCTTCACTAACCAAGAGTAAGTTGACTAATAAAAGCACCACTTCAATCCCCTTGGTGCTACCTCCCCCC